ATTTAAAAAAAAAAAAAAAATATATATATATATATATATATATATATGTATGTATATATTCTGATAACATTGTACGTCCTTCAATCTCCTTTCTCCCTCTAATCCCTTCCTTTATCTCCGTTGCCGCGCACTCGATTCTGTTCCCATTCTTCGCTTTCCCATTTTTCCAGATCCCCGTGATATCTGGATGATGAAGGGTAAGCTACCCAAAGCATACGATGAAGAACACAGAATGATCCCCTGCCTTTCCCCTGAAAAAATTGTCTTCCGAGGCGAAGTGGACGTGCATTGGAATGCGCACACAGTGCCCCTGTTGTGGGCCCTGGACCGACAGGCGGCCGGTTTAGCGCCTCTCAGCACAGGTAAGGAAATATTCATTCTCTCTCTCTCTCTCTGTATTAATACAATAGAGTACTTCGAAAATTTTAATCGAACCGGTAGAAAGCAGGCGAACTTTTTTATTTATTTATTTCACGCAATAGAAGTCATTGGAGTCGCTGTAGCGTTCGTGAAAAGAAAATATCGTACATTTGTATTGTTTAAAAAATATATATAAATTTCGCTGTGCCTTTCGAGAGGATGGACGACTTTGGACACGCATTCCCTACTTCTTGGACAATTTTCTTGGTAAACAAAAATACATTTCCTCAACGCATCAATTTTCATCCCGTGTCACAGATGCCACTTGACACTGCTTCATGTCGCCATTGAAAATGTTTTTTTTTATATTAGTTTTAAATATGTTAAATACCACACTCCGTTCCTCTTAACGTAGGCAGTGAGTTTAAGAGTTTTTGTGCATTTGGCTGCTGGCAAAAAACGAATGATTTCAGCTGAATTATTTCGAGCGTGACCGCATTACATTAAGTTATACAGCGGTTTAGAATAAATACAGCACATGCTCTTCGCCACAGAATGCTGATCATTCACTCTTGCCTTAAAGGAAACATTTTGACCGTCAGTCGATTATTTTCAAGAAGGAAAGAATACGAATGATCGAAACCCGAAGCGCGTGAAACCATTCTGCATCTGTTCAGCATGTGACACATGCGAGAGAGAGAACAAAAAAAATCGACTGCCACAGACAATAGGACTCCGTCGCATGTCTGAGCCTGTTGCCGCTCTAGCACCCAAACCGCTTAATTTAGAGCTCAGAAATGTTTCGAACTCATTCTTTCTTGGCTTTCGTGGATTTATCCTCCTCTCGCGGGACAAAAACTGTTCAGCCATAACGTTTTCCAATTTTTTTTTGCGAAACACTTCACTTTGCTTTGAGGGATTAAAAGTTGGGAAAAAAATGATTAGGAAATGCTTGAGCTACTGACCTACCCTCTGGTAGTCACTCGGACAAACAAGGCTTCCCCGATCGAAGAGCGATGGCGAATAAGTCGCGCCTGTTGAGATTCATCCACAGTGAGGGAACTTAGTAAGGAAGATCCCGCCTGAGCTCCGTGGAAATTACAAAAAGGTAGGCTGGTGTGGCCGTGTGCATCAGTAAATTACATTCTCGTAATTTAAGATTTAATTTCTTTCAAGCCCATTTGCTCATTCTGTTGGCGTCTAATACATCAACAAATTTACCTTTTCATGGATAAAACAAGCGACAAAATTACCCAAGAAGAGAGCATGGTCCACAATGAGGAGGCGTTGAAATAGCGAGAGGAACGGGAGCAGCGAGAAGTCAACGGATATTCAAAGACAAGGAGTCAGATAACACATGCTAGAATTCCGTGGGGATCAGTCAAGATGTGGCGAATGCAAGCCAACGGCAAGCAAGGGAACGAAAGGAGGCACCTGCACCTCCCCAGTAACGATCGCACAGCGTACGTGAAAACCGCTTGAAAGGATTAAAGAAGGCTGCTATGGTTGGACGGCCTGGATCGACGATACGGGCACGACTCCATTACAATGGCGGCGAGAAATCGCCAATGGAGCCACGAAGGTCGTCTGAAAATCCTTTCGCTTCTAAAGCCTTGAAAAGCCCCGATTTGGCGTTTTCTTCAGCTTCATCTGATCTCTTCGAGGAAAGGGAGACAACTTGCTTGGAGAAACAAAAACCGCCATGTATTATTTGATTGTGTTTAAAAGGAATGAATTCTGAAGAAGTGTAAGTATCGCTTCTCGCCGACGAACTAGGTTTCTTCTCAGAAACCAAAAAATCCCAGCAACAATTGAAAACATTACATCCCGGAAATGTACAGAACGAAGAGAGGACATCGGTGCTCGACACCCTACAAAAGCCGTCGAGTTGTAAGAAAATACGACCTGGGTAAACGAGACGGAAAAGAGTTTCCATAATACACATTTCGGATTCCGGTCCATCCAGGGATTGCGTTGCAAGTGAGAAACCAGTTGCGGTCCCCTTCGTCTGAAGTAGCGATTTGTCATCTGTTATGCATACGACCTGCCGAGTGAAAGAAGAATGGCTTCCTCAAGAAGAGCAATAGTTGCTGGACTAAGCGAGAAGAAAGTAAATACGAGAAACGACTAATTCGGTACCATCCTCTACTTTAATTCGAAGAGGTCAAAAGCTGCGGCAGTGGTCGTGGCTGTCACCCCCACCGCGCAGGCCTACGATGCAAAGCCATTCTGGGTCATAGGCCAGGCCTACAAGGCTGCGCCTTTCCAAGCCATCATATACTTTAATTCGAAGAGCCTGAGAGTTGTCGTGGTTGTCACCCCAGCGCGCGAGGCCTAC